AATCTGACGTATTACATATATCAGTCATTTTTCTAAAAAACCAAAAACAAAAACATGTAAAACTTTGCAAAAACAAAAGCAAATCTTAATAGTTTTACTGGGCGGGGTTGCAAAGCTTTCCGGGTTAGAACCTATCCAGGAGATCTGCGAATGGCTCGACCAGGAGAGATTTGACAACGCTAAAACGCGATAATAATAAAAAAAATTAAATACTTAACTAGGGGGAGAGACAAGAACGGCAATTTCGCATAAGAAAAAGTCCTACCTTGATTAATAATCGGAATTACTGGAGCTAAGGTTCACTAACTCGTATCACTTATCACGAACAGACAAGAGCTTCGGCGACTGAAAAACTAACGGTCACTTCGGTGGTCAAAAAGGCAAGGTCTTGTGATTTTGTCGCCCTCATACTTATGCCTTTTCGGACTATTTACTACTAAGTGGTATAAAAAAATGACCCTTGCACACCTTCACAAATAATTTCTGATAATTTGTATAAAATTCGGTGTTTTAATACGAATATGATTTTACAGTACACGAGAGTATTTTAAACTACGGGGGCTTGCTCAGCCGTTCAGGATGTGCGATGGCTAGGGAATTCAACATTAAAGAGTACCTGCACGGAAATTAATTAAAAATAAAATTTAGTGACTTCGTCACAGGATATATGAGTAGTGATTGGGTTAGCAAATATGAGCTTATTGATGGTAATGTAAATGCAGAAAAATGTTATATCAAGAAGCGAATGTTTTATATTTCAACAAGACGGTGCCCTGCATGTGTGTGTGTATTTGTGTGTATGTGTGTGTATGTGTGTGTATGTGTGTGTATGTGTGTGTATGTGTGTGTATGTGTGTGTATGTGTGTGTATGTGTGTGTATGTGTGTGTATGTGTGTGTATGTGTGTGTATGTGTGTGTATGTGTGTGTATGTGTGTGTATGTGTGTGTATGTGTGTGTATGTGTGTATGTGTGTATGTGTGTGTATGTGTGTGTATGTGTGTGTATGTGTGTGTATGTGTGTGTGTGTGTGTGTGTGTATGTGTGTGTATGTGTGTGTATGTGTGTGTATGTGTGTGTATGTGTGTGTATGTGTGTGTATGTGTGTGTATGTGTGTGTATGTGTGTGTGTGTGTGTATGTGTGTGTATGACTGTGTATGTCTGTGTATGTGTGTGTATGTGTGTATATGTGTGTGTATGTGTGTGTATGTGTGTGTATGTGTGTGTATGTGTGTGTATGTGTGTGTATGTGTGTGTATGTGTGTGTATGTGTGTGTATGTGTGTGTATGTGTGTGTATGTGTGTGTATGTGTGTGTATATGTGTGTATGTGTGTGTATGTGTGTGTATGTGTGTGTATGTGTGTGTATGTGTGTGTATGTGTGTGTATGTGTATGCGTAGGCTTGGGCGTGGGCGGGGAAGTGGGCGTTCGCGTGCGCTTGGACAACTGTGTGCGCGTGCGTGTGTGCGTGTAGGTGAGTGTGCGCGTGCGTGTGTGCGTGTAGGTGAGTGTACGTGTGCGGGTGCGGGTATGTGTGCGTGCATGTGTGTTGGGTTGGATTCTTTGACTATGGACTTTGTACATTAGCCAAAAATAGCTGATATTACCTAATATTAATGTTCGATTTACCTAAGGTATAGGATTCAAGGGCCTCCGAACATTTTTCAGCAAATTTTTTTTATTTTTTTATGTAGTTTATGAAAGATACCATAGTAATTGCTTACGAACAGACTTTATGTTCCCCAATTTGGAAGACAAAAATAATAGTTCAAAATAAATATAAATATATTTTTAAATATTTTGCATACCGTCTGAATATACAGGGTGTTTATTAAATGAGTGCCGATTAAGGGTGTGAATCTTTGAGTGATTTTAAGAAGAAAAGTTAATATCAACATATGTCGTAAACATCTTAATATTCGAGCTACAGGGTATTTTTTATCATAATTAGGTATATATTTTTATGAAATTTTGTACACACCTTTTAATCTCTAAGTAGCATTTTTTGACGTAAAATATTGTTACACTCAATTTATTTCAACTCAACTTTACAATAATTCAACTATATAACTGATAACATTAACGTATAACCATCAAACTGAACTCTGACGTCAGGATCATAACCCGCTTTTCCCTTTTAGAACCTTTTAGAACTATCCGGAATTTTCTTGCTTTTACTTATGACAACCACAGCATACTGCAGGGTGATTAGTGACATTGCACTTCTTTTTGTATTCGTACGTTTCCTAAGATAGCCGCAGGCTACTGCAGGGTGCAGGGTCACAATATTTTTTATATATTTACCAGTGACGTCCTTACGGGGTTTGAACTAAAATGTGGAGGCGCATTATCGTGCATTAGCCACATCTTGTTTCTTAATAAAAGAAAAAGGTCTTTAAGCATTGGCGGCATATCTTCTTTAAGAAAGTGTAAATATGATTGTCCATCAAGTCTTCTTGGAAGAAAAAATAGGCCTATCAAATAATCATCAATAATGCCATCTCAATCATATAATGAGAACTGTTTTTGATGATTTGATTCAACAATTGCATGAGGGTTTTCACCTGCCCACGGTTAAAACAATGTGTGGAATAACGGATTTTCCAGCAGGTTTTAAAGAAACCACTCACAGAAATTAATGCGAAACGGAAAATCTCTAGAGAGTAATGCCTGGACTCTTTGAATGTGATATGGATGTAACAAATTTTCGATGAGAATTTTCCAAACAAGTACATGTGAAACATTAAATATTGCAGCGAGTTTGCTCGTGCTTGTTTCGGGGTTCTCCTCAATGTCATGTAAAATTACTTCTTCAAGTTCCAGTGTTCTTACTACTTGATGGATTTTTTTAGTCATGTGATCTACTTTTAAAGTTGCTGTCTCGTGAAGACGTCTATAAATCCTTAAAAATGTTATCAAATCCGGTAGTACGCAATTTGAATACCGCTCTTGGTATATCCGCCAGACTTTGTATGCATTTCCGTCTGCAAGCTCATAAGTAAAATATATGTCAGCTAATTCACTATCAGATTTTACCTCTTACTAATAATAATTGTTTAATAAATGTAAAATCAATGTCAACTTTATTGTCTTTGTAAAAAGAAACATTATGACTTAAGAGAGCATTTAATGCTTACAGTTTTTTTATTTTTTTATGTTTTAATTTAATTTTTTTTGATATCATGCCTACGTGAACGTCATTTGTGAAAGTAAAAAATTAATTTTTGTCCTAAAAAAAAGTTCCACGCATGGTGGGTGCCTTATACGAAAACGGTGCATCATACAAAAGTAAGTCTATGGACCAAATTTGCTCCAAATAAGATTTAAAAAATAATTTGAATTTTTAGAAGAAGCAGTATCATGCCATTCTTATTTCTTCAAAAATATTTAGTTCAAACCCCGTACGATCGTCACTGATAAAAATTTTAAAAAATATACGTCTCTTACGTCGAAAAATGCTGCCTAATAATTAAAAGAAGAGTACAACATTTCATAAAAATATCTGGAGTAAAAAAAGTTATTTTTTCTTAAAACTGTAACACCCTGTAGCTCAAAATTTAAGAGGTACACGACATACGAGGTCTGTCTAAAAGTATCCCACCTTAATTTTTCCCGCGTAAAGTAGTGATTCTAAGGCGGTGCCACTGCGCACGGTGGAAGGAGGCATCTTAATGCGCATGCTTGAATTTTTTCACCGCGTTCGCTTGTGCAAGTCGCTGGCTGGTGGTTGTTAAGTAAGTTGCTGTTCTTAGTGTGTTCGTCGGATTTAGTTTTCTTGCAAGATGAATGAACGAATTGAGCAAAGATACTGCATCAAATTCTGTCAAAAGCTTGGTGATTCTCAAAGCCAAACAATTCGTAAGATTTAGCAGGTGTTTGGAGAAGATGCGATGGGTGTAACACAAATTAAGGAGTGGTTTAACCGATTCAAATATGGCCGCACATCAGTGGAGAGTGAGCATCGTTGTGGCAGGCCCCAAACTGCTCGGAGTGCAGCTAATGTTGAGAGGGTGCGTAATTTGATAATGGCAGATCGTCGTTTGACAGTGCGGGAGATTGCAAAAGAGGTTGGAGTGAGTAAAGATTCTGAACATGCAATTTTTCGTACCCAAGTTGTTGTCGCCGGAACAAAAAGATCTCCGTTTTGACATTGCACAAGACCTTCTGGACACAGCCAACACTGATCCTGGGTTTCTGAACACCGAGATAACTGGAGACGAGTCATGGGTGTACGGGTACGACCCAGAAACAAAAAGACAGTCGTCGCAATGGAAGCATCCCGATTCTCCAAGGCCGAAGAATTGTGCATCACGAATACGCACCGGAAGGGCAAACAGTGACAAAGGAGTACTATTAAGATGTTCTCCGGCGACTCCGTGGCGCAGTTCGGCGCAAAAGACCAGACATGTGGACGGTGAACAACTGGCACTTGCATCATGACAACGCCCCCACACATTCATCCCAATTGATCAACACTTTCTTAGCCAAACATGGAATTACAACCGTTCGCCAACCTCCCTACTCTCCAGACCTGGCTCCTTGCGACTTCTGGTTGTTTCCAAAATTAAAGACGCCACTGAAAGGATTCCGTTTTGAGAGTAGAGAAGAGATAATGCGGAACGCGACGACGGGGCTGAACACCATTCCAAAAGAAGACTTCCAGAGGTGTTTCCAGCAGTAAAAGGATTAGGGTCTCAACTCCGTCAGGTAGTCAAAATATTTTTTCTGGCCGAAGGTCAGATACTTTTTAGACAGGCCTCGTATGGTAATATTACCTTTTCTTCTTAAAATCATCCAAGGATTCATACCCTTAAGTATCGGCACTCAACTAATAAACACAATGTGTAGTTGTTAATTTCTTAAAATATTGTCTTCGTAGAAAAAATATTGTATGCAATTCGAGTGAAAAGTTCATTGTCGCTCACTACACAAATAGTGTCATTTATTTTTATCATAAATAAAAATTTAAACAAATTATTATATCTGTTCTTTTTTGTAGTACTATCAGGCATGATGATGACAGCGTGTGACGTCAGTGCCATAGCAAAACCATGGGATGTGCAACACAGGGTAGCCAAATTAGTCGCAGACGAATTTTTTGACCAAGGAGATTTAGAAAAACTGCAGCTAAAGGAACAGCCGATAGTAAGTAACAACTATAAATATAGAAACGATCCTATCAAAGGAAAGCGTGGGTGATATGATCTTTATTAAAGATACAGTTTAAGAAGAAAATTTTGTACATAATTTTAGGAATGCATACATAACTAATTCGTTAATTTTAATAAAACTATATAAAACTAATTTAATTACGAGTATTAAAACTAAAATCCCAAATTAGCCGTTGGAGGAAATTCCACGTAACAGGCCCAGGATCAAATCTGGGCTGAGGTTCATTTTATTTTATAAATTAGTAAAAGTAATAAATTATTTTAAAATTAGTTTGTCTTAATACACTAAAATTACTTTTTCATTTTGTAAATTTTCGTTAGTGACTCGTAGAAAAAATATACTGTACAACTCGTGTGGATTGACCATATCCACTTTTGTTGCACAAACTACATGGTAAGAAAAGCCACATGGACTTTCTTACTTCATATATTAAATAACTGTAAATTGGGCAACATCGAAACTAGACAAAATGAAAATATAACTTATGAAATGGTACAGATGTATTGTTTAAGCTTAGGTATATTGAAAAACGATTATACCGTATTTCATTTAAATATACTATTGTGGCGCGTAAAGTTATGAAGGTTATAAAATTTAATAAAAAAAATCTCAAAATAAAAAATTTAGATACACTAACCTTTATAAACTCAAAGGATTCAATGATCACTGGCCAATATACTATGTTAATTACCAAATCATACCACCAACACAAACTTACAACCTCTTAACAGTGTTGCTAATGTCAACATTATAAATTTTCTCGTCGAAATGGTTTGTGTTACCCCGGAAACTTAAGAAATCCCAGATAATGGTACCTTTCCTCCCCCTCTGTCCCTTATTTTGGTAGCTGTAGCTTTAGGACTTTTAATATTGTTACGCAGCACCCTGTAGCGTGCTGCGGTCGTCATAAGTAAAGGTACGAGTAAATGAAGAAGATGGAATATTCCAGAAATGTCTCGAAATGTCATTCCTTGTCAGAGAATAATCCGGATTGTTCGAGAAGGTTCTAGAAGGTGGAGGCAAGCTATATAAGTCGACAACCTGACGTCAGTTGGCAGTTTTATAATAGACGTTACATGTTAATGTTATCAGTTGAATAGTTGTTGTAAAAGTTGAGTTCAAATAAATTGCGATACCAAAAACCTGTGTAACATTGATGACAGCGGTGGGATACAAAGTAGAAGTTCATGGTAAATACTAGATTTACTGAGTACGAAGCAGGCATGGACACTTCAGGCCCACCAGTATGGTTTTTGAAGATGGAAGAGGAGAGAGTAAGGCGAGAAGAGAAAAAGGAAAGGCGTAGGAAGAAAGAAGAGGAGGAAAAGGAACGGTGTAGAAAGGAAGAAGAAGAGAAAAAGGAACGGCGTAGAAAGGAAGAAGAGGAGAAGAGAGTGAGGCGAGAAGAGGAAAAGGAAAGGCGTAGGAAGGAAGAAGAGGAGGAAAATGAAAGGCGTAGGAAGAAAGAGGAGGAGGAAAAGGAAAGGCGAGAAGGAGAGAGGGAAAGGCGTAGAAATGAAGAAGAGGAGGAAAAGGAAAGGCGAGAAGAGGAGAAGGAGAGACACAGGATGGATGAAGAAAAAGAGAAGGAAGAGAGACGTAGAAATGCTGAGGTTGAAATTATAAACGGTTTGCTACAAATCCAGGAAACCTTCAAGCAAGAGGTTAGTTAGCTTAAAATTAGAGTAGATCTGTTAGAGCAACAACAAGAGCATCTAAAAGCTAATTTAGAGAAACAGCAAGAGAATTTGAAAGCTAATTTAGAACAACAAGAACAGGTTAGAGTAGAGTTGGAAAGGCAAATTAGAGCTGAAATGGCTGAGTTAGAAAAAAGAATTTACAGCCAAGCTTCAGTAAACAGCATTAAAGCTGCAAACACTACTACCTCGTCTTCATCCATAACGGAACTAAGCCACATTCGAATCCCAGTTTCACAAAACTATACTAGCAAAACCCTTAAGCCACCTACGTTTGACGGTCAGACAACATGGGAATCATATCGACTCCAATTTGAAGCTGCAGCTAGAGCCAATGGCTGGACCGAGAAAGAGATAGCGGCTTCATTGATAGTGTTACTGCGAGGTCAGGCAGCAACCGTTTTACAGTTACTTCCACAAGAGGAACCCAGTTATTCATCTCTCTTTCAAGCTTTGAAGACAAGATATGGCCAGCAGCATTTTCAACGGGTATTCCAAAGCCAGCTAAAGGTTCGTAGTCAGAAACATACTGAGAGTCTACAGGAATTCGAGGCTGATATAAGAAGGTTGATTCATCTGGCCTATCCATAAGTGCAGAAAGATTTCCAAGAACAACTCGAAATACAAGCATTCATTGATGGATTACAAGATGTGGAAATGCAGCAAGTCCTTCGTCTACAATATCACAAGACGCTGAGGGAGAAACTGATTGCAGCTCAGGAATATGAAGCGGTAAAACTTCTATCCAGACCTTCTCGCGCAAAAGTGAGGGAAATTAAATCCCAGGAAAGTGAGGAGGCCAATACTAATGCTATTCCCCAAATCTTAAATATCCTACGAAATATGCAACGAAACAGCCAAAATGGAAGCAGGAGATGCTTTAATTGCGGAAGAATCGGACACCTTCAAAGAACCTGTAGAAGCATGGCTCATTCTATAAATCGAGAGTCAGCTAATGAGATCGAAAAATCATATAGATCAATCTTTCTAAGCCCATCACTAAGACCAACAGGAATTAATTACAGCAGCTATGCGTCCCAAAGAAGCCAATCACCCACACCGAGCCGGCTTTCTAACAATAACCAGAAAATAAAGCATCGAGGAGGTCTCCATAGCAACGCAGACATTCTCTTCGGGCAACCCCGTTTAGAGGAACAATACTGGTATGGTAAACGGCTCTCAGAACGAGAAGAACCGGTTGATAAAGTTACTCTTCGGGCAACCACTATCAAGCCAGAGGGCGACGAAGAAGAAATCACCCTTGAAAGTCTGAGACAGGGACAGAAGGAAGACAATGACTTGAAGGTTGTCCGAGAATGGCTTAAAAATAAAGTCACACCTACTTGGCAAGATATAGCCAAATACAGTAGTACTATAAAAGGCTACTGGACCAAGTAGGATTTCCTGTATCTTCACGATGGCCTATTGCACCGAAAGTGGGATAGCCCGACAAAGTACATGTAGTCCGCCAAGTGATACTGCCGAGGTCACAGGTGAGAAATGTATTGGAGGAGCTTCATAGCAGCCATTCAGGAGGCCACTTTGATACTAAAAGGACACTGGAACGAGTTCAGGAAAGATTTTATTGGGTCAATTGCCGACGGGATGTAACGGATTGGTGTAAAAAATGTGACGTATGCAATGGTAGGACAAAGGTCTATGGATTCGCTCTAGAACGACTGAAAGCCCACATCGATAAAGCAGAAGCTAGAATCGACAGGAGTGCCACAGATACACGTTTTGAGAGGGGAGACAAGGTATGGCTGTGCAATCCCAAGCAGCGAGGAGAACTTCGTCAGAAATCGCAACGGAACTGGTAAGGCCCCTACTCCGTTCTTGAGGAAAATCAACGAACTGATCTGCCGCATTTAACTGTCAGCGGGAAGTAAATTCAACGTAGTTCACATTGGAAAGATAGCTCCATACCATGGTCCAGATCCTCCCCATTAGTTCCAACTAGGTCCCAGTAATTAAGTTATTCGGGGCGAATAACTAGAGAGGAAGGAGCAATGTTACGCAGCACCCTGCAGCGTGCTGCGGTCGTCATAAGTAAAGGTACAAGTAAATGAAGAAAATGGAATATTCCAGAAATGTCTCGAAATGTCATTCCTTGTCAGAGAAAAATCCGGATTGTTCGAGAAGGTTCTAGAAGGCGGAGGCAAGCTATATAAGTCGAAGACCTGACGTCAGTTGGCAGTTTTATGATAGACGTTACATGTTAATGTTATCAGTTGAATAGTTGTTGTAAAAGTTTAGTTCAAATAAATTGCGATACCAAAAACCTATGTAACAATATTTTTACCTCCTAACTACTCCAAACACATACCTACCTGAAGAAAAATATTCTCCACTCTTCTATATTCTCCTCTCTTCTGTATTCTCCTCTTTTCAATGTCCTCACAATTTCCTATCAAAGGTACCTACGTCGAAAAACATTCTTTGGCAAAATTGTTGCATTTGCTACATACATGTTTCAAATTTTTGAATTTATTTCTGGAATCCGTGTAGATATTTATTCACGTTGTTGAGATGAGAATATTAAAAGCATAATATCTATCAGACATAAACTTAAATTATTATGAACAAGAATAGGTACATTTCAATAAATAAATTCCTAATAAATATTCTCACCCAATATTTTCTTACAGGCACAAATGGATAGAGAACGAAAAGACGAGCTTCCTCAAATGCAAGTTGGTTTCATCGATGTTATCTGCCTTCCACTCTACAGAGTGCTATCGGAAACTTTTCCATGGATGAAACCATTATACCAAGGAACACTCGAAAATCGCCAGCACTGGCAAGATTTAGCGGAAAAGGTTGAAATGGGTTTAACATGGATAGACCACGATACGATCGATAAACCCGTTGAAGCTTTTACAGGTATAGTGCAGCAAAGTTTGGACAAAAAATCGCTTATCTCGAGATAAAAAAATCGGCAAAGGACCACCCATGTCAGATTGTATAGATTACATGTAGTAGATATACATATTAAATGGACAATTATGACATTTTTGAGTAGGTCAAATATTTTTTATAACAAAAATAACACGAAAAAAAGTCCTAAGTAATAACATATTTTACATTTATATATGGCCGTATTTTTAAGAATAGACTCAGTTTTTTTAGATTAAGTAAAATACAATATAAAAACGATTTTTTGCCAATATTGTAAGATTTGGAAGTCGTGGGTGGCGCAGGTTGTTATTTCGAACAAGGGTTGCCCGGGCGCCAGTTTTGATTACGCAGTTCGCTCTGCGACTCTCAAGTGCACCTAGAGTGCACTCAAAATAACCTCTCCAGGCTGTCGTATACGTATGGAGTAGTGCCTAAATAAAATAAATCAAATAAAAAATAATATAAAATTAAAACTATTCACTCCCTAAGCGGTAACCACCTTCTACCTTTACCCTAAAGGTGATCTTAGATGATCTAGATAAAAGGGTAGGTACAATTAAAATAAGTACATGAAATACATATACAACAATATATTTCAAAAACGGTAGTCTCGGTGGGGCAATATTAAACCCAAACAATAACGGTCCCTATATAATCAAATTCCCCCACAAAATAATAATGAAACTAATATAATAAATAAAAACGGTAAGACAGATACTCTTACAATTCGGAATTTCTGACTCGGTTAACAGTGAATTAACAAAATAATTATAAAATTGCTATTTGGGGAAATAGTAACACTAAAATAATAAATATATTGTAGTAGGACAGATATTTTGAATAGTTAAATCAATATAATAAATATGAAATGGTAAGGCAAATGGTCTTAATGCTTCGGAGTCTCTGGCTCAATTAACAGTATCATTGAATCATTAAAAAGATTAACCAAAATAAATCAACGTTAGAAAATAAATAAGTAGGTCCTTAATTGAAAATAATTTAAATAACACACACTGTGCATACGTAGGTCGGAAATTATAACATCAGAAAATAAATAATGAAATCCATAGTTTAAAATAATTTAAATAACATACCGTGTGTATATGTAGGTCGGAAATTATAACGTCAGAAAATAAATAATTCAACCCTGTATATACGTAGTTCCAAAATTATAACATCAGAAAATAAATAATTAAATCCATAGTTTAAAATAATTTAAATAACATACCGTGTGTATATGTAGGTCGGAAATTATAACGTCAGAAAATAAATAATTCAACCCTGTATATACGTAGTTCCAAAATTATAACATCAGAAAATAAATAATTAAATCCAGAGTTTAAAATAATTTAAATATCACACCCCAGGTTATAACCCATTTATTGGTGACATCGGTTTCCTTAATGAAAGCTAGTTGATAATACACTTCTTAATGAGGCAGGCACAAAAATATGTCTGGGGGCCTATTCTTGTATATGTGAGTAGGAGAGTAGAAGAGCACTTCTCTTACTGTTGTTTGGCCGGAATCATATGAATGATGAGAGCAGTGTTGCCAGACTACGATAACTATCGTATTTGTATGATATACGTTAAAGTTGAAAATTGCCCAGTTTTTCAGAATTTCTATTTTCCAACTTACGAGCTAGACTATTTCTATTGCATACACGTTTAATATATGTTTTAGTAATATATTATTACATACTTATAATTAAAAATATTTTTAATTACAAGGTGATTCAGAAAGATCTGATGGTAGTTTTTTGCAAAATCTCACTATTTCTACTGTGATGTCTTGGAAGCATATTTTCAAAAAGTACTACTCAGTATGGTATTTTGGTATATTGCACAGTACACATTTCTTATACAGGTTGTTTTGTAGTGGGAACCACATATAATTATTTTTTTAAGGACTAATTCAAAACCCTGTACCTACTTATTAATTGATTTTTAGGAAAGGTAATACCACTAAAATGTGTACCTCTAAGCTTCAAAATATACACGGCGGCTTATTTGTTGGAAGATATTTTATTTTAATAAAAGTACAAAAACACCACGAACACCTTGTAGTATAAAATTTCCCAAGTCAAATGTAACTATTTTCTTATAGTATATGATAATTTTAACACTATTTTAAGAGATATAATTTAAAATTCGATACTATGACCAGTTTTCGAGATACAGGGCTGTAAAGTGGAGAATTGCTGATTTTAGTTATTTTTTCTTTGAACTGAAAAGCTAGATTGTCTTTATGTAGAATATATAAGTTTTATATAGATTTTTGTGAGATGTCCATTCTGTTTGAAATATTTGTTACAGGGTGATTTACGAATAAATCACAATATATTTTTTGCACACTCAATATCTCTACAGAGAAATTATTTCATTAAGTTAATATCTACCCGTTCAAAATTTTGAGGTCAAAATATTTAGCTATGTATACTTTTTATACAGGGTGAGTTAATAACATTACGTTAGATTTTAAAATATACAGGGTAATCTAACTGTTTTATAATTACCTTCAAAATATATCAGTATATACATAATTTTCCGATATATGTGACAAGTTTTTATAAACGGGACAATAAAGTTGCAAAAATATAGTGTGATTTATTCGTGAATCACCCTGTAACAGTAAATATTTTGAATTGACTCTTTTTATGAACATCTGACCAAAACTTATATTAAACTTATATATGCTACATAAAGTCAATTTAACTTTTCAGTTTGAAGAAAAAATAACTAAAATCAACAATTCTCCACTTTAACGCCCTGTATCTTGAATTTAAAACTTACATCTCATATAAAGGTGGTATAAAAGCATTATATTCTAAAAAAATGGTTACATTTTACCTGGGAAATTTTAGTGGTTTTTGTACTTTTCTTAAAATGGAATATCTTCGAACAAATAAATCACCTTATATATTTTGAAGCTTAGAGGTACACATATTTAAGTGGTATTACCTTTCCTAAAAATCAATTAATATGTACCTACAGGGTTATGAATTAATCCTTGAAAAAAATAATTTTATGTTGTGGTTCTTTCTATAAAACACCCTGTATAAGAAATGTATATTGTTTATTCTTTAAAAATGTGTATTATATAATCTTTAAAAATATGCTTCCCTGACGACATAGTAAAATTATTCATACATTGTGAATCACCCTGTAACTGAAAATATTTATAATACGCTAATTCGGTGTGGTCCACTGATCTGTATTATTTTACTGTGATTTTACTGGATAGGATATAGCCCCCTAAAAAACGTTCCGAAAAATTTGCCGATTTGGGCAAATAATATGGCGGACCGGATGTTATTTAACATAACCTCTATTTCCATTTGTCATCAAATTTGTCATTTAATTGTGTCAACAAATTACGATGACACGTTTTTTTTTATTTATTTAGGTAGTATCGGATAGCATTATTATCATATAAACAATAAACGTTCATTCGTGAAGACACAATATGCTTCACGTTTCCATTTTTATATTTTCTTTCATAAAAAGTCAAATTATAGGTGAATTTTCCCGTACGACATTGTCCGCAGAAGGAATAGAAGAAGAATAAGAAGAAAAACTGATCAAATTATGGGTTAGGTATGTCAAATTATCCCAAAATTCAGTTCTGTGATCCCACCATAATTTGCCCAAATGGGCCAGCAGTGTTGCACTTCCGGTCTCCTTGGTGGAACGGATTTTTAGTATGTTAAATATAGCCTATATCCTATCCAGTAAAATAATTAGGCATTCCAACGACCTGTCCAAATGGCTACCAGTGGGTAATGACAGTTTAGATATGGCAACCCTGTTGTCATATTGTCATTAACAGGGTGGGTCAATGATACATATATAGTTAATAATTAAACCAGTAATTAGTGGGGAATGCAGCAAATGAAAGAGTACTTTTTTAAGTTTATTCCAAGCTTTCGGAAATGTTTATTTCCATCATCAGGGAGACTAAAATAAAATAATACCACATATTATGATAAAGTAAGGTAAAAAAATTTTTTTGTCATCACTTACATCTTAATTAAGGTTGTTCATTTTGGTGGTATTATTAAGTTTAGTGTAAAAATACAAAATAAAATGGACAAGCTGAGGTCAATTACAATAGTACATTATATACCTAGGGTGAGAAGTGAGCTATTATTTACTGAGCACTTTTATATCCTGAGGCGCGTAGCGCCGAGGGATATAATGTGCGAGGTAAATAATAGCTTTCTCAGCCGAGGTATATATAGAATTTTTTTTACTACTAACATTAATGTATTAGCAATTTTAATTTTTACATAAGTAATTTCCTAACAATTTGTTAAATATTTCGAAATATCAAGCAGACTGGAGCGTGTTTCTAATCAGACTGGCTTTATTTATGTAAAAATTTGGCATGTGTCAAATTTTGGTATGATTCTAGGAAATATCCCATTGCATTTTTGATATTTTAATGACATGGATTTATTGTTATTAATTAATAATTTTTAAAGCCGGTGTTGAATTTCCTAGTTAATATATATTTTTACTATTAACACTGATATATATTATCATATTTGATTTGATTAGATTTTAATAAACCCAGCTTTAGTTATTTCCTACTTATTTTTCAAATATTTCAAAATATCAAGTAGTCTGGGAGTTAAGTTGTCAAAATAACAAAATGAAACTAATGAAATTTAGTTTCATTATTTACCTAGGTTTTTTTTTATTATCATTATTTACCTAGGGAGACAAATATTACTTCTCATTAGAGGAATGGAGTAAATAATGGTGATTTCTCATGTTAGTAGTAAAAAAAATAATATTATACACAAACAATAACTACGATACTTTAAAAATTATTTACACAAGATATTCGTCTATATTTACAAATAAATCATAAATTTTGATAAAAATATCTAAAATTAATCTAAAGTATTAAAAAAAATCCTAAGGTCCGGTGTTCAAATATATGATTAAGAATATTTAAATTCTTTTTTTAAGTAATATTT